AACTGCAGGAAAAAACCTCACACACGCTCCTGGGGAATCCTCCCAAAAGCCATGCGGATCCTGCAGGAACCCCCAGCCGGAAAATAGCTCCCCGGGAAATCCCTCCTCCTGCACTTCACCAACCAATGGGAACTCCCGGGGAATCCCCGGAAATCCCCATGAGAACTCAAAATAGCGCAAGAAGTCCAAAATAGCGCGAGAACACAAAAGTAGCGGCAGAGGCGGATATTAATGCCTCGCCTGTCAATCAATACTGTTGGCAAAATGCCCAGGAGCCATACAGACTCGGCTGTGGCTCTCAGCAATTATTGTTATTATTATTACTATTATTATTTAAAATGTCCAGGAATAGCTGTGTTTTGGTTTTAACTGTTTTTGCTAAGTGTTTAAGATGAAACAGTCAAACTGACTTTTGTTTCTATCTATTGTTAACAGTTAGCTGAGTTTCCATGGGAGTCACTCCTAGGGGAACTTAAGAGCAACTTCTTAGTTGTGTAGTGCCATTTGCACTAGGATGGGTCCAGGTCTTGCTCAACCATGTGGCTTCCCTCAAGAGATGTCTTCCTTCTCCAATGACCCTTCTCTTCATAAAAAATGCATTGATTGGCTTTCTGTTCTCCAGGGGTTTCATTAATCTCCCTGATCAGGAGGTTATGTGGCCCAGAGTTGCAAAGCTCTTTAGAGAAGTCCCCTGTTCCCTGGATTCAGACTGACTCAAAGGGCAAGAGCCAAATATTGGTTTTCTTGGCTCTTTTAATTTAATTTTAAATTTTAAGTCCTGATCTTAAACATCTAACAAATCAGTCTCAACAGCCTTAAATTAAAAGTACTGGGCTTTAATATCTATAACTTTACAATCATTTACTCTTTTTATTAATTGGAATCTGTATTATCCTATCTGTCCTGTAGGTGATGGCTTATTATCTTAAATTAACCCATTATATCCCCTGTTTGAGATCCTAATAATCTTGACACAAAAAACAACTTTTGAATATAACTTTAAGTGAACTGAAATCTGGCCTACTGTGGAGTCATTCAGACATGCAGTGAGATAGGACACAGAACCTTATCTCAGGTAAGGCAGGGCTCTTCATAAATCTTAAGTAAAGTGTTCAAGTTCTGAAGCTGATCTTTGTTTCTTAAATATCATTTTATAAAGTTTACATAAATTATTTGAGGTCATATGAATATTAGCTAACACAAAATGATATCACATTTAAAATATGAATTAAAGAAAGGCTGAAAGCTTTTAACCTTTTGGGGAAAAGTAGCAAAATACTTTGTGTTTTACAATATTAACCTTTACATAGATTAGGCTCTCATTAACTTAAAAATACATTAAATTGTACCCCAGTGTAAAAAGTAACATAAAACTTTATATATCTTATTGATAATACATCCAGTTATAGAACATTAAATGATATAAATAAATCTTCAATGTTTTTTAAAGTCTAAAATCACTATATAACTTTAGAACATCAGTTTGATATAATGCTATTTTAGAGCTTTTAAAGATTTGTATACCTGGAAGATATGAACACATTTAATATACAAGGAAGAGTAATAGCACCACAATTACTTGGATGTTTTTATATTAACCAAGTTTAGCTTTTAAAGAAATGACACTATAATGCTCTAAAATAACAGTTCTTGTTTAATCAGTTGGTTACTTTCTTTACGATTACTTGCTCTAGAAAAAAAGAAACAAAACTTAATAAACACAATGTTATGGGTAAACCAATGTTAAGAAAAATTTGTCTTTTTAACATATGACTGATTGTAAAAACAAACTTATACAGATCTTCTTTATCACTTACCCTCTTATTCATCACATAAAGACGTTCTTATCCAGAAACATTTTTTTTCTTTTATTAAATATGGTTTTCATACGTAGAACCTTCTATTTTTTTCTTTCCATCTAATAACCCTCTTTTTTCTTCATGTTTGGAAACAATCCTTGAAAATTTTCGAGTTGAGGCAAATTATTTTATTTTAATGAAAAGACATACTTTATTTTATTTACAATACTCTTAATTGGAACAGTTGAAACTTTTGGGCCTTTGTATATAGAATTACATCTGTTTACCATTTTATGAAAACACAATGTTTAAGTATATAGAATTATGCCCGTTGGGAGTTTAAATTTTTAGTAAAAACTTTTTAGTGCTGACAAAGTAACTTTAAATCCTTTCTTTCATTTACCAGTTTATAAAAACATCAGTAATATTACCCAGTGGAATTGAAGGAGTCAAGAGTACTTGATATTATTGGGGCTGGAGATGTGGCTCAAGTGGTAGCGCGCTCGCCTGGTATGCGTGCGACCCGGGTTCGATCCTCAGCACCATATACCAACAAAGATGTTGTGTCCGCCGAGAACTGAAAAATAAATATTAAAAATTCTCTCTCTCTCTCTCTCTCTCTCTCACTCTCTCTTTAAAAAAAAAAGAGTACTTGATATTACATTTAACAGTTACCAATTTAATCTTGTAAGTTAATCGAATGTCTAACAAACAAAATTACTGATAAATATGAGTAATCCCATGTCAAAACTATTTATTTATTTTATCAAAATATCAAAACAAGTAAATTGAACAATATTAGCTGTTTTCCTTGTTGAAGAAAATTTCTAGAACCAAGGAATATTAGACATGTTATAGACATTAATAATATCTTATTAATTAACCTTTTTGATCACCTTGAGAGACTTGTGAGTTAAGTTTAATTTTAAAGACATTTATTTTTATCTCTTTACCCGATTTAAATTGAACCATTTTAAATCATGTGAATTAAAGGTATTTGGATTCAATTTTTATTTTATTTTATTTTTTTAGCATAGAAAGTTACACAAAACGGGGTTTGAGAACTTACAGATAACAAAATTAATGAGGATCATTAGAGCTTCAGAGAGGGTTGTTATCTGGTCAGGGAGAGCCAGGCATGGGTGAGTTCAAGGCATAGGTAGGCATTCCAAGCAAGTTTAGAAATTATAGTAGTTTATAGTAAAGACAAAATTAGCTTTTCATGCCTTTGTGGCAAGATGGCTCCCAATCTTAAAAGGAAAGTAAGCTGGATGGATC